AATTATTGCATTCTCATCTACCGCCATCCATCCACTGAGTTCAAGCTTCTTTCTCCCCGCACGGGCGCAAGGACTGTGACAGGGATGCAGCAGAAGCAGGCCAGACTGGAACCGTACAAAGTAAAGTAGTAGTAGTAAATTACGAGGTACGTACTTTCCAAGGGAAGGATAATTATTGGTAAGTGGTAACCCGTCCGGGTGGGAGTGGCCGCACGAGGCCAACCCGTGATGGAGAGAGACTAGAGCCAAAGTTGTCCCTGACTAGCAGAATAGTCAGCCGGTTCTTTTCCTCCCCCCCCCCCCCCCCACCACTACCTCCAACCGGCGCAGGAACAGTTTAGAGAAAAATTAGAATTATTATTATTATTATACGGTAATAGTCTACTACTCCTGGAGTTGTCAATTTTTATGTAGGATGTAAACCATCATTGCAGTGGCAGATGGTATGCGTTATCGAATTTTTATGAAAATAATAATATTATTATTATTATCATTATAAGTTCTGCTGGTGACTTCTTAACTACAAAAAGAGAGACAGTGGAGGTCACTCCCAAGTATCTCCTGGATGGTTCACGCAGCCAAAGAGTACTCGAACAGTACCTAGTCGGCCCAGCTCTCCACCTTCCACCTCCACTGGGCCCTCTCTGCCCCCTTTAGTGGTCAACGAACCTCTAACTAACCGCTTCCTCTTTCCACCTTAACTCTTCATGGTCAAGATTGTCTCCCTGCTTTGCCTTTTGCCCTTTTCCTCCCCTACTCTCTCTCTCTCTCTCTCCGTCCGGTTCCAATTAACCTGGCTTAACCTAACTTGACCTATTCTTTCTCCCCTTCTCCTCCTCTTCCCTCTCCCTCCTCTTCTCTCACGCCTTTTCTCTCTTCCTTCCTCCCTCTTTCCCCTCCTTTGTCCTCTCCTCCCTTTTCCGTTCCTTATCCAACTCCTCCCCCTCTCCGAGGATCAGGACCGTCCGGTATCAACACCACCGCCACTCAAGGGAGTTGTTTTCCTCGCTTCCACATTTCATTGGATTATTCCAATCTAGATGTGCTGTAGAGCGTGAGAAAAGAAATGCCCATCAATTGAGTTCGCGGGAGTAGTTGTGATCGATCCGTCCGATCTCATCTCCGCTGTGTTTCCCTCTTTTTAGTTGCAACAATATCCTGCCCCTATTCTAATAGCCGTCCTTCCTTTCACCCTCACTTCTTTTTCGACCTCTAGCAGTGCTACTGTTCTCTCGACCTGCCATTCAGTCTTCTAGCAAGCAGAAAGGAAACGGCAAAAAGTCAACAACCAGTCGTGATTTCACTACTATTCGAACGCAACCATCGGAACCAAGGTTCGGAGACCGCCTGCGTCCCAAACGGGAAAAAGTAATCCATTACGCAACCTACGTCTGTACATAATATAATATTCCCCGTCAATCCCTTGAAAACCCGACAAAAACCATCACTATGGGCCATTCTCTGAGGGACCACGCCTCTTTCGTCCGTCCGTCCACTCGCGACCGGCCGTCGACCCGCGACCAAGGGGAGAACTCGCTCGTCGTCCCTAGTCGCACCTCCTCACTTCACTCCCGCATTACGCAACCCATCCCTTCGCAAGCCAATACGAAAGCTTCTCAGCGAACCCCCAAGACTCTCACTCATGCGTACATGGTTTGCGGTGTTGGCCGGGAACCATCCCAATGGGTCCGGGCTCCCGCGCCAGCACAGGGAAAGATTGGACACATGAAAGGAGCCGTGGGCCAGTTTTGGTTGCCGGAGATCCTGGGAAGCAGTCCCCGTCTGGAACAAGATAATGAAATCGCCAAGTCCTTGCATTCGGCCATGAGGGTATGTTCTTTCTGAATCCGCCGCCATCTGGTAGAAGGGTGGCTGACACTGACTGGCCGTATTAGGCATGCTTCCCTCACGATGTAGAGATCTGCACCGGCAAGAACCAGCCTCACTGCGTCCATCATGCCTTCGTTCTGCAGCAAGATTCTTCTCACACCCTATACGGTATCGCCCTGCGAGTATGGTCCCGCGCAGACGACAAGCGTGCGGAAACGATTCGCGAATTGCGCAAGAAGACAGAACCCGATTTCTACGATAACCCGGAAGAGACTTACTGGATCCCATACTGTCTGAGTTTCCTTTCCCGCTACCCACTCTACGACCTTCTGGGCGACTATCTCCGTGGCATGTGGATTCATTGGAACAAGGCCACCAACTTGTTCCATGCGGAGGAGGTTTCGCGGATTCTGAGCTTTCCTGCGCCCCGCCTCAACGACCTGGTTCGCATCGACATGAAGGATTATGCTCTCTGCTATCAGTTCCCATCGTCCCCGACGGGCTTCCAGAACTTCTCCATGTGGCCCCTCTTTACCTGCCTGTCGATCCCTAATGTGGTGGGTGTTGTTGAAGCTGCCGTATCGCCGACACGTCGTATCATCTTCGTCAGCCACTACCCAGCCATGCTCACCATGGCTGCGGAAACCATCCGTTACTGTGTGCGCATTTACGAATGGAGTGGATTGTATGTCCCCGTTGTCCACGCTCGTCACATCAAGGATTTGGTCCAGGAGCCCGGCCCGTACATTCTCGGTGTCACGGCTGAATGCCGAACCCTCTTCAACGCTCCCTCTGATGCTCTGGTCGTGGATTTGGATCGTAATTTTGTCCTCACATCGAGTCCGCCCGATGTTCTGACTCCTGGTCAGCGCACCAAGTTCATCAACCGGTTGACCCAGGCCTTGAATGGTGATGTTTCACCCTCGGGTGTTCCAAACCACCTCCGTTCTGCCTACGCTGGTGGCAAACTCATTCCCGCTGGACAGATCATCGTGATGCGGGGTGAGGTCGAGAGCGTCCAGGATCCTTCTTGGTGGAACCAGGATGCTGTGATGAACGTTATGGATCATGTGTGCGAGAAGTTGGTGAGTAATTCTTCTGGTGCAAATATCTGTGTGGGTCTTTACGTTAACAATATGTGTACTAGGGACGCAATACTGGCATGAAGGCCATCTTCGGTGGCTCTGTCAAGAAGCCTCTCATGACCAAGGTTTCCATGCGCCACCTGAACGAAATTGTGCGTGAAAGGAACCAGTACTCTCGCGATGCGATGGAAGCTTGGCAAGATTTTATCAACCTTAAGGGTCGCATGGACACCGAGCTGAGCAAGGTCACCAAGCGCAACAACTTCTTGGTTGAGGAGCTGGAAACCTGGAAGCAGCAGGTTTGTCCCCCCTCCCTGAATGGCTCATGTATAATTCGGAGACTAACCCCATGCAGTTCCTCAAGTTCCAGGCTTTCGCCGAGACCCTCACCAAGGAAACATCTGAACTCAAGGTTAAGATTGAGAACCACAAGCGTGAGAACCGTCGTCTTACCGGTCTCATTGACCAGCAGAAGGATGATGTGGCTCGTCTCTCTCTCCGTTTGTCCGGCACAGAGAAGCAGCGCGATGATGCTCTGGAAGCGTTGGTCCTCCAGCAAGAAATTGCGGAAGAGCTCGAGCGCGAGAGGAAGCGCAACCAAAAGGAGCTTGCTTCTTTGCAGCACTCCAATGCTTCCCTCACGCGGCAACGCGATGAGGCTCAGCGCGTGGTGCTGGGTCTCCGCAGCCTTATCAATGGCCAGACACATCACATGGAGCACATCGTTCGTTCGATTGGTAGCTCTACCGACCTGACCGAGCTGCCCGAAGCCGAGGCTGCCGTCGAGACCAAGGAGGCCGGACAGGATGTTGAGACCCCGAGAGAATCTGCCGTGTCGTCGCGACGCTCTAGTGCCAATATCTCCGCGAAGAGCGTTGCCAACAATGTGAGCCCGGACTTGGAGCAACATCTCCTCAGCATGGGTAAAAGTCACAACCGTCTTGCACGTCTCAGCATAACTGATGTCGCAGATCGCTACCTGCGTGACAAGACTGATGCTATTTCCGATATCATCCGCAGCATCAGCGAGCAGTGTGCTGCCGCTGTGGAAGGCCTACAGCTTGCTCAAGATGCGGAGGATGATGACCTCCCGGCATCCGGCAAGACCACCCCAAATGGAAGCCGTCGTCTGACAACTGATGGACTTCGTGGGCACTTGACACCCGCTGGCAGTGAGATGGGAGATGGCGACAACCACTCGTTGCACCCCGATCACCGGCGTTCTAGTGTCCCGCCGACCCCAGACCTGGTGCATAACCGGTCCAGCACATCCATGTCGATGGTCAGCAGCTCGACGTTCCCGGAGAGGTCGAGCCAGCAGTATGGGCCTGGCGAGATCCCGACCCGGATTATCGAGGACGATGATGAGCGCGCTCACGAGACCGATGGTCTTGATGACCACACTGAGACAGGCACTCTGTCCAAGCAGGCCAGCGAGGACCTCATTCGGGCCGGCTCTTCCCGACTGGTTGCGTAATTGTCTCTTGAGAACGACGATGCAACGCTTGATTTCGACGACTTTTGACGCGACGTCTGCTCCTACCATCTTGTCCAAATTAGAGCGAGTTGTGGCCACTCTTTGGCATTGATTTATCTGCCTTCGAATTTTTCTTTTGACAGTTCCCTGTTATTCCACCTTTCTTTTTCCTCTGGAGATTCCCATTGTTTTTGACTCCGTGATTCTACCCAGGCGTTATTCTCCTTTACAATTCTCGGGAGCACCATGTGACCCCAGTTGATTTTTCACGGGACGGCTATATTGATTGCTTTGGTTATTCCCACCTGCCATCCCGTCTTTATACCACTTTTGCCTTCTTGAGAGTCCGTTGACTTCTCCCGCCTTGTAGTAGATCATTTGGCTTCCCCTCGTTGGGCCGACCCCTCATTCACCAGAATTTCCTATCCTGTCATCCTCCTGTTTCCATTTGTCCATACTTCTACCTGTTGACTAGGGCAGCTTTGAAAGCTGCTATGTGGAGTTTAAAGAGATACACTGAATTGGTGTCAGCCAATTCCCCACTGCAACACAAAAACCTCTGCGGTCCTCTGAATGTAATTGTTGGTTACAAACCTCATTCGAATCCTATTTGTTCATTATAAGGGTAGTTCGAGTAATCTGGTACTATAATGCATAGTGACTATGCCAACTTGCCCGGCACAAACGGGTGTCCAGCACTAAGTCCACCACAGACAGCCCAAGCCTGTCCATTGACATAGCTACTCTCATCACTCCCCAGGAACAACGCCACGCGAGCCACCTCATCCGCAACCGCTCCCCGCTGCAGAGGGTTCAGCTGCCCGACCTTTCGCTCCGTGCCTCGCGCCCGTGCAGCATCAAACACCGCCTGAGTCATACCCGTCTCAATCAACCCCGGACAGATGGCATTGACGCGAATTCCTGTCCCAGCCAACTGGTACGCACACGTCTGGGCAACAGAAACAACCGCCGCCTTGGAAGCAGAGTAATCCGTGGAACCAGCATTAGAGCGCAGTCCCGCAACAGAGGCCGTGCAGATAATAGAGCCCCCGGGGTACGGCTTCGCCTCTGAGGTGCGCTTCATACCCTCGGAGGCGTACTTGGCTGCTAGGAAGACACTACAACCAACAAATCAGAGACCAGCTCAATCAAGCAATTTAAATAAAATGCAAGGCTCTTACTCACCTAGCCACATTCGTATTCAACGTCTTCATCAACTGCGCTGCCGTAACCTCAGTGAAAATCTTTGGCTGACCCACGATGCCCGCATTCGCGAAGAATATATCCAGTCGGTTATACTTCTCTAATGCGTCGTGAACGACTGCCTTGACGGCTTCTTCATCGGCGGCATCGAATTGGCGGATGTGGATGTCTACGCCGGGATACAGGGACTCAATTTCCCGCTTGTGTGTTGCCAGGTGGCTGTCTGCGTAGTCGCAGATGTAGATGGCTTTGGCGCCGTTGTGGGCGTATTGGTGCGCTGCGGCGCGGCCGATGCCTGCGGGGGAGTTGGCTCCTGGTTGTTATTAGCATGCGTGTCCATGTATGTGTAATATTTTGGGTAGGGGTAAGTAGTATGCTGAAGGGGAGTGTATACCGGTTACAATTGCGACTTTGTCCTTGACTCGGCTGGTATGTTGTCAGTTTTGAGGGCAAGTATATAAAAGGAACTCGAAGTATAAGTCTAGACGTACGGTCCGACGGAATCGCCTGCAACTTGGCGGATTCGAGGAATGCCCTCAAATGTGCCTGCGTCCGGAATGCCTTCCACTAATTGCTGGCTCACGGCTTGGAGACGACGTTTGGCTACTGAGGACATGATGGGTGAAGTATGGAAGGGACGGGGGATATATAAGTGTCCACTAGGTTCACGGTTTGAAAGAATTGTTTCTTTTGGAGTTGGACTGTGGTGGGAATCTGGGGTAGAAAAATGTATTAGGCTGGTTTTACACCGACAGGAAGACAACAATCAGCTTTACTCATTTTACAAGGTCGATCTCCCCCATCGCAGCCCCCAGAATGACGCCCGGTGGCTGCGGAGAACCGAGGCTGAGGGTCAGGTGACGGAGAGCAGAAGCCGAGGGAGGGAGATAGTTGTGGCCTGAGGCATAACATATCGTCGGAGTTAAGACAAGCTTACCGCCGGAGATGAAGATCGACCATTCCCTGAAATTCAGGCACCCAGGCCCCTCTTACATAAGCGTGAGCTGGCGGCATGCCAAGTCACATGGCTGCAGCCACACGTCATGGTCCGTTCGTTCGGCTCCCCAAAGCAGCTGGCATTCCAGACCCTGGCTGCTACTTTTCTCCCTCAATTTTCCCCCCGCGTTCCTGTCATTCCTTGCCTCTGTCTCAGCTTCGACCTCCTGCTTCCGCGGCTTCACTTGAGATTCTATCGCTTTTCTTTCTCGTCTTGCGGTTTAGCGTGCGGGTGTTATCATCATCTCCGGTTGCTCAGGTCGATCATCTGCCGCACAAACAAAGTCGCAAACAGCGGAAACCGGCCTCAGGTAGCACAGCCAGACACAAAGCTAGAGGCTATAAAAAGACACACATCGGTGATCCTGCTTGATAAACTCCACATTCCTGTCTCAGAAATCACGCAAAGAAGAAAGACCGAACAAAACGAAGCATACATGAAGGCCGCAGTTCAAGTATCTGGCTCTGTTCACCGCCCCTCGAGTCATGGCGGAGTGCGATATCCCACAACTACCGCGTCGTTCCTCGTCTCGGACCTCCTCCTCTTCCCGGCGAAGTCAGAAGGCTAAGACCGTTCGTGCCCGCTCGCAAAAACGTAATTCGGCCTCCTCCAGTGCCACAGCCACCGACCTGACCTCGTTCCCTTCGCTTTCCCCGGACCGCTCCCCCGAAGGGTTCGTCGGCCAACCCGCGTTGAACCGTGCATTGACCAATGCCTTGTTGGAAGGTGAAGAAGGTAGTGATAACCCGCCGGATGTTAATCGGGATCGGAGGTCTACCTTGGCTAAGCTGACCGGTGGCTCGACCCCGAGCCCTGGTCGTGCTGCCCTGTTTGGGGATTCGGTGCCCATTCGTGATTTTCCGGGGGCGTTACACCTGGCGGATGATTCTCATATTGAGCGTCTCATTGCGAGCACCGGTGCTGTTAAGCTGGTGCGACAGTTCGCCCGTGATTTGGCACAGCGCGATGCGGAGATTTCAGCTCTGCGACAGCGGGCTGATGCGAGGGAGAGGGAGTTGAAGAGGATGCTGCGGGAGGTTTCGGTCTCGAATCAGGATATCGAGCGTCGATTATATCAGCTGGAAAATGCGCCGTTGGGCGATGAAGCTGGTCAGGAACATGGTGGCAACACGGAACAGCCGGGCAGCTCCGCCTCCAGTATGCATGGACTGATGCAGCAGGCGATGATTGACGGGCTTGGATCTCAAGCTCATGAGGAAGGGACGGATGCTGCTGGTAATGTGCAGGCCACTGTTCGAGGTCCCCAACGTCTCGATAGCGATGCACGCTCTGGCAATTCTAGCGTGGAGTCGGGAACAAATCGCAAGAGACATGGCTCTATCCGAAGTTGGCAGGACTTCATTTTCGGTAATACTACGAGTAGCCGAAAGACAAGTCGGGCAAGCAGCGTAATGGGTGAGGTCGAAGAGGAAGAAACTCAACGTCAGCGAAATCTCACCAACCCTTCTAGTCGCCGAAAAGCGCTGGACGAGCAATTATTTCAACCCCCAGAAGGTCAACAAGGGCCTACTGCGGGGGAAGTTGCTGGAAAACATATCAATGCATCCACTGGCGGAGACGACGCTAGTACTCATTCACGCAAGTCATCCAAGTCGCTATCCTCGTGGACGGTCAAGTTGTTCGCTGGGAACTCACAAAACGAGACCAATAGTGATGACGGCCGCGGCAGAGCCTCGTCTACGAACCGGGGTAGTAGCAAAGGTATTTCTCCTGCGCTTCCTCCCAATGCTAAGGGGCCTGTTTCAGCCATGGCGGCCCTGAAGCGAATAAATAGCAATACTAGCGTGCACAGCGCTTCTGGGCGAGCACCTGGTCCCAACAGCGTGGCAAAATCTGGCCAAATAAGCCGGAGGCAACCGTCTGCGAGTGTTTCACTAGGAACGAACGCGGACGCCACAGCTAAGAACGCAACCAACCTCGGGCCCGTTGAGATGGATGCCATCCTTCCTCTGGAGTCAAGACCTCCTACTCTTTCAAACATGTACAACAACTATCAACCGGGTGAGTTGCTGACTGACCGTTTTGGATTTATCTACGACCAGCGTCGCAAGAAAAGACAAAGGGAGGCGAACGCGTTCAAGAATGCTGGAGGCAGCAACCGGCTCAGCATTGCAGAGACTCTTAGCAGCTTACGGAGCGACGCTTCCGATGGTGATGATGCATCCGACTCTTTAAAGCAACTGCAGCCAATGCCAGAACCTCAGTCTTCGCCTGTGTCTGCGTCTCCCGAGACAGCGGAAGCCGGTACAGTCGCACTTCGGAGATGGCAAGATTACCTGAGGGTACCCACTGGACCGACAGAGTTGCTGTCACATACACCTTCAGCTGGTCCTATCGTATCCCTCACCACAGCAGGCGACAGTTCCCCTCGCAATTCTGCTGTGGCTGTCGACAAACGTGGCGCAGTTTCCGTCAACCCGAACGCTCAACCATCGGCATCTACGTCCACAGTAGTCGCAGATCGTCCAGAGTTCGCAGGGGTTTCCTCCGACGAGCCAGCCGCATTAAGCCTGGCTGCAGGCGAGAATGAACCGGTTAAATTGCTGCTCGAGCAATTGACGGAACTACATGATTCCCTACAACGTGACCGGACCGTGCGGTGGAACGAGTTCCTGCGCAAAGTGCGTGCAGAGCGCAGAAAAGACGGCGAAGCTGCCGCAGCAGCCGCCGCCACCTCCGACCGGGCACTGCAGTCTGTCGATATGCCCGAGGCATCGCTGGCCGATGGCGAAGTGGTAGGTATTTCTGGCCTAGGTAACAAGGGCAAAGTCGGCCGTGCCAAATGGCGCGAGTTCCGGGTTCTCGTGTTGGGAGGAATCCCCGTTGCCCTCCGGGCAAAGGTCTGGTCCGAATGCAGTGGCGCTTCTTCGATGCGGGTACCTGGTTACTACGATGACCTAGTAAAGGGCACCGGTGGCTCTGAGCCCGACTCGTCGGTCGTCGCCCAGATTGACATGGACATTAACCGGACTCTAACCGACAATGTATTCTTCCGCCGAGGACCAGGCGTTACCAAGCTCAAGGAAGTGCTCCTGGCCTACTCTCGACGCAACCCTGAGGTCGGCTACTGCCAGGGGATGAACCTCATCGCCGCATCTCTCCTGCTTATCACTCCCACCGCTGAAGACGCCTTCTGGCTCCTCACCTCCATGATCGAGGTGATCCTTCCCGAACACTACTACGACCATGGCTTGCTCGCCTCCCGGGCCGATCAAGTAGTACTGCGCCAGTACATTGCCGAAATCCTGCCCAAGCTATCCGCCCACCTCGAGAGTCTGGGCGTCGAACTCGAGGCACTAACATTTCAATGGTTCCTCTCCGTCTTCACCGACTGCCTCTCAGCCGAAGCCCTCTACCGCGTCTGGGACGTAGTCCTCTGTCTGAATGTAACCAGCGCCGTCAACAACCCTCCCGCCACCGGCACAGCCAATGCCCCTTCTTCCACCTCCACAACCGATCCCACCGACTCAGACCCCAGCGCCAGCGGCAACGGAGGCGGCAGCACCTTCCTATTCCAAGTAGCTCTCGCGCTCCTCAAACTCAACGAGCAACAACTCCTCACCACCTGCTCCACCCCAGCCGAACTCTACACCTACATCAACCACCAGATGACCAACCACGCCATCAGCATCGACGGCCTCATCCAAGCCAGCGAAGCCCTTCGGAACGTCGTCCGACGCGAAGACGTGGTCGCCCGTCGCGCGGAAGCCCTCCGCGAGATGCAGGAATTTACGCGAGGCCGCCCGACCTCATCAGGGGATAGTTAGAAGAAGAAAAGTCCCCCAACTGAAAATCAGAATCATGTCCTGAAAGAGGAAGAACAATAACAACAAGAAGAAATAAGCAAGCATGATATCAAATATCAATTTTTTTTCCCCCAAGATGTTGTCCTTATCTGCAACTCCATCATTGCATGATACCACAATGTGTTATTTGTGATACGTATCTTTATCGATATATTTTTGCCGCCCCCATGCCAACTATGCCCTTATAGACCAGCACCACCAATTTCATTTTTTTTTCCCGGTCATGATATGAATGAGTGTACTGAACTTCATTAGTGTAACAGATTAGTTCGATATTACTAGCGCAGCGTTGGATATTAAATGATACATTCCCCGACTTACAAAGGGGAATTGAACTTCTTCATCTTACTACTATCTACTGAGTATACACAGCTTACGATACCACTTCTGTAATTCTCCTTATAACTACTTAATAGTAATACTCAGTAGTGGTGAGGGATATGAGAAAAGTAAGCATGGCACGTGTCCGACTGGATGAAATACTAGTATATATCGAGAGGTCTGTGAGCATTTTGAGTTTCAGACACTGCAATTTTGTTCCCACTAAAACCGATACCATCATCATATTATGACCAATCTTATCAATGGCAATATGCGAGAAGTTCACCACTATTGATTCCTACCTACCTCAAAACATAGCGCTATTGAATATGTTTCACTCTGATCATAGTACAAAACTCGCAATTGAAGGAGATGTGAATAGCTACCAGCCGAAGCAATTCTTTCGTTAAGTCATTCCAAGAAATATCACAACAGTATAGCTGGTAGATCAGCAGAATATAGCTTATTTTTTATTTCCAAACATAGATAAAGAAAAGATAGATAAATAAATAATAACCCCCCTAAGCGCATGGGATCCCCAGCGGATCAATGAAATCAACTCGTTGGCATCATCTCAGTGTCTTCTTTTTGGACAAGCAATCATTATCAGTCGGGGAGGGGTATCATTGCCATGGTAGGTAAATATCGACAGGAAAGTAGAAGGGGCTTGTGCAAGGGTCGATCAATAAGCAACCCGAAAATACATGTGCATATAGTATAGAGCCCCGCCTCTTTACCTGGCCATTGGAAGGAGGTCGGGTATCCAAAACCGACTGTTGTCGAGGACCGTGGTCAGATCAATTTCAGGCATGGTAGGCCGAAGACCAAGGTCCATCACATCACGGGCGACCGCCTTGATCTGATGCATAATCGTTTGCGAAATCGCCCAGGTCCGTCCTAGAGTCTTGAAAACGCCAATGGTAAGCGTCAGCCGATCACGGCTGGGGTCGGGCATCTGCCCGGCCTTGACGGAGCACGCGGCCAACTGCACCATGGAGCTGAGAACCAGCGCACAAATGAAGAAGGGCGTGTGCTTCACAACTGGCATGCGAATAGACGCCAGCGAGGAGATCTCGCTGGCTGCCTTGACCGCCTTCATGGCATGCGCATGATGCGAGAAGGCGGGGATGCTCAGCGGCCCGTGATGGCCGCAAATAACCTCCGCTGCCACCGCGGGGGAGGACAGCAGATCAGATCGCGGGAAATGGAGGTAAATCGCAGAGCCGTTGACGATCATTGTTGCTTGGAACATCATCTCGTCGACGGACCCGTCCGAGCGCAGCAGTTCGGCCTTATTCTCGGGAAGGTGGTGGAAGAAACTGGTAATCCGTGCGTCAATGGCCTCGACATGGTCCTGCTGGCCTTCAATCATGTCTTGGATGGCCACTACGCGTCCCAGGATGCGAACGGCCTCAATTCGGTAAGTGAAGGAAGAGAAATCTCGCTCCTCATCTGCAAAGACATGCTCGTCGAATTGCGCAATAGTGGGTGCAGGCGGAGGTGGGAGAGCATCTTGGTAGATTCGCTCTTCACAGGGCAATGGTACCTCGAGCGGCCCAGAATTGCACCGGAAAGCTGGCTGAACACCCAGTGCAGTGAGCATGCCTTCAATGATGAAGAGCTCCCACCAGGTGCGCCTCAAGCTCTCTTCCCGCACCGGGTCGCCATAGCTGAGCTGCGGCGCAGCATCTCTTTTGTTCAATCCCAACTCGAAGGCCAGATTGACAGCCGTCGTCACGCACTCGCCCGCCTTCTGCCGCTCATTGCGGGAATGCAAGACAATGGCGAGGAGTACCAGGGCCTGCAATTTTTCGATGGACCCTTCCTGGTCCATCACGGACGACATGACCGTCGGCCGGTAGGTCTCACTGTTGGCGGCCGGAGTGAAGTGGGTCCCAATGAACTTGATGACATGCTCCAGAAACGCAGGCACGTGGTTGCGGTAAAGGACACGGTGGGGCGGCAAGACCGGGTGGGAAGGATGGAAATAGGTGTAGAAGATGTCGATAAGATAGCCATCGCCTGCAATGGTAGAGATCGAGTCTGGTGTCATGGGGCTATTGGTGACGCCGACCGTCTGCGAGTGCGAGGAGCCAGAGTTATCGGTCAGAGCGGGACTGCCGGAGGGTAAGGAAGAGGAGGGCAGGGAAGTCGGCACGGGGGTGGTGGCGGCGGCTGCCACCGCATACGACATGGGCATGTTACTCGACAGAGTCCAGTCGGACGGCACGTTGAAGTATTGGGGCTCGAAGGAGGTCGACATGTCTGCGGGGAGTTGGTCGGGGGAGGATGGATTGGCTCGACGCTTCTTCGAGGGGCCCTTGTACCCGCGACGCGACGGGGTGTATTGACATTCAGAGCCTGTGGCGGAACAGCGACCGCAGACAGGAGTCTTTCCATCACATTTTAGGTGCTTGTGTCGACACAGCAGACAGGCAAGCAGCGACGGGCCCGAGTTTTTGGCAGAACCGGAGTCCTTGACGGAGATAAACGGGTTTTGTTGGAGACCTTGATCCATGTTGAAGGCGGGAACAATCACTGAATGGTTACTGAGAATTAATAAGCTGGTGGTCTCATTTGCGCAATTCCAGCACCATGCAGAGAAGAAGAAGAAGAAGAAAAAGAGAAAAAGGAGAATCCGGCGGGGTTCAGAGTGACCAGAGACAAGTTGAAACCCAGCAGGAGAGAAGAGGAAAAGAAAGACGGCAAGCGGAAGTTCGGTACAAGCGGGGGTGACGGCGGAAAGGAAGGTTTTATGGAAGCACAAGAAAAAAGCGGGCGGGAAGTTGAAGTGGGGGGGGAGGAGGAGCAGGAAGGAGAAGGAGATAAATTTTTTGTAAAAAAAAGAACCAGGGATGGAAAGAAAGACGATGGATACAATCGGAGAAGGCCGAATGGATTGATTCTAGGACGATGACTGGCAGGAAGGGGGGGATATTGAATTAACTAGTTAACTAGCACTAGACGCAACGGCGACACGAATCATGCAGGACGACCAGTGCAGTAGAAGGAGTAGAAGGCCACAAAAAGAGAGAGACATACCACTTTTTCTTCTCTTTTCTTTATTAATTATTATTCCTAGTCTTGCCTTTTTGACAGGCCGAAGGATGATCGATCAGACCAGCCAGACGTTTCTTTAGCTCGAGTCTCCACCGACAGCCGCAGAGCGCCCAGCATCTCACCCATTCACGCTTCACGATTGGGAATGGCCGGTGAGGGTGGAGCTGCAGCGATCGGATGTGACACAGAGAGATTGCTGCAACAAAGGAAAGAGAAAATAAAAAGGACTCGAACAGTTGTCAAGGGGGGTGGGTAAAAGTAGAGGATGAATAAGATTTGGAATCGTCCGTCTTGAGAAGTTGGGTGGCAGAGTTAGTTAGCTAGTTGATCGATAGTTCAGAATAGATAGATAGAGAGAGTAGAGAGAGAGTTGGAGATGGTAGTGGATGGATGGAATGGATGAATGATGGAGAAGTGATGATGCTGACTGAGCCGGTAACTTTACGCACGTAACTATCAAGTACTGCATCTACACCAACGGGATACCAAGTAAATACCAACTATCTCATCTATCTATTTAACTTACCTAGTAGTTAACAAGCAAGCAACAACCAATTCTCCTATCCTGTTCTTCCTTCCCCCTCCTTTACAAAAATCTTGTTTACACTTTCCCTCAAACCAGGTAAGCTTTCGCCGTAAGAAATTCCCATCAACCATAGACCACTCTTCTATGGTTCGACCCGAATCGGGTTTTCTCTATTCCCTCAGCTCCGTTCTCCATCTCCGACTACTACGTACTAAGTAAAGTAGTTAGTCTAACTATCAACGTGGCTTCCGCGCAATCACACTCCCCTTCCGTCATCGCACCAACAACACTCACTCACTCACTTCCCCTTCCTCTCTCGTTTTACTACTCAACAAAGAAAAACAAACAAAAGTACCTTACTTTATCCAATTACTTACCTCTTCGTCACAAATCAACCAGTCCAATTCCTCCCTGAAGCGCTAAACAATAACAACAACCTAATACCTACTACCTACCCTCCACAATGATCACCGACGACGAACTCCACCGTCTGGCCGTCTTCCTCGGCTCTTGCGCCATGATGATGATCGTTCTTTACCACTTCCTCGAGGTCAATCAGAAAGAAGATGACGAGGAGGTCGACGTCAAAAACAACAACAGCAACAGCAAGCAACAATCTACGGGCGCGTCGTCGTCGTCGGCTGGTTCGACTACTACCACTGCGTGAATTTGATTTGATTTGATTTGATTCGGTTTGGACTTGGAATTGGAATTGCAGGGGCAATGTCGTTATTATAATTGTCAATTGATTGATTGATCGATTGATGGATCTGGCCTTGGAATGCGGTTTGGTTTCCGACTTTGCGATACAAACTACTACAATGTATGGTCTATTGTTCCTGGGCGTGTGCGCAAAGGAGATAGACAGACAGACAGACAAGGAAGGGGGGGGGAATGGATGATGGTGAAAGTGTGGTGGAACAGAACAGAAAAGTGGCGATGAATAGATACCCCGGTGGTCGTCGTCAATATAACTACCCTTTTTTTCACTCTTCTTTTCAGTTGATCGGATTTGAGTTCATTATCTATATGGTACATGGTTGATGTTGCTATGGTTTACAAGGGTGTAACATCTCGGGAATATCTGCATGCTGAAGGCGAACAACAACACCGTCGCTCAAAAACACTCGCTGAATCCCGCTGTCAAATGCCATGCCATGTAATGCGAAACCGATGAAACTACAACGAATTAAAAAGTGAGGGTATCACAAGTCGCGGTTCTCTTAAGTCGCTGGCACCACCTCGTAGACATCTTCGTCATTGTTCAATCGCTCATTCCGCGCCGGGGTCGCGAGCTCACATCCGCCCGGGTCCAGTCCGACTCCAATGTGCTCCTTCAGTCGCTGGACTGCCTTGAGGATCTCCCGGGACCTCTCCTGTTGAGTATTATTCCCATGCACTCGGTTAAAGGCACGGATGGAACTGCCGCTGGCAGGGATTATAAGTGAGTCTTCACTGTTGGGCTGTGCGGTGTCTGGGATGCCCAAGGGCCCAGGACTGCCGCTAGCATCGTTTCCCACTACATCGCACAAGTCAAAGTTAAAAATCAATCACTGCTCCGAACAATCAAACTAGTCGCAAGCTGAAAGAATGTTATCATCCAGCAGATGCTTTCTCACCAGTTACAGGCACCGTGGGCCCATCCCCAAGCTTCCATGCGATCGGTTCCAAATGCTCCTTCTTCACATGTTTGAACAGAACTGCGGCAGGCAGAGCGTCTGGGAACGTGCACCCCTTCCATGCGCAATTGAGCGTCTGGGATACGTGCACCTTGAAGACATGTTTCTTCAGTCCATCCAGATTGTGCAACTGCGCCTGGCAGTTCGTCCAATTACATGCAAATACCGGGTACGGAACTGACGACGACATGGGAGGCTGCTGAGGCTGCTGGGGCGGCTGTCGCGCCTTGTTCGTGCTGCCCGGGGGCCGACCCGGTCTTCTTTTGCCCGTCATCGGTGTCACTCGTGTCGTTGTGGTAGGTACACTTGATTGTGACGGGGGCTGAGGGGTCGACGGTAGTTGCGGCCGCGTTTGTGGTAGCGGGGGCGCTGCCGAAGCAAATGGGCCGTTCTGTGGCTGAGGGGCAGCCTTGGAAGAACCAAGGTGCTGACCCAACACCGGCTGACCCTGCAGGGGCTGCGAAGGCGGATATTGTCGTGCCGGCTGTGACTGGGGAAGAGGTGGCGGTTGCCGGGCTTGTGGTGGAGGGGGAAGAGTGGTGTTGGTGGTGCTCGGAGGGACAGGCAGTGAAGGCGCGGGACGCGGCCGCGGCCGCGGCTGCGGTTTTGGCGGTTCCGAGTCACGTGGTTCCTGCGCATCGACTAGATCCCAGCGAAAGGTCGACAGGTCCGACGAAGTGTCCACATGAACAAAAACATCGCGCAAGCGAAGAAGGTGATGGTTCAGTGTCTCTTCTGTTGGGTGGCGGCCGGCTGCGATGAGGACGTCTCTGGCGATCGTCTTCGGGTCGTAGATCACCTTATCGACGGCATCCTCCTCACGTAGCGGCTTAACAATGTCGGCACGAGATTTCAAATGGTTTTTGGGTGCAGGGGAGCCGGTGCCTCCTGTTTGTGGTGAATAATTGTAGATAGAGAGCCCTCCAGCCGGACGATCCTCAGCAGGCACCGTTGCATAGCTGGGCAATGAGGGTCGCCCGGATGATCGCTTAGAGGTGGATGGGGGCGCTATCCGACGTCTCTTTGCATCATGACCAGGCTCACTACCATTTCCACCAGTATTTGTTTGCTGCATTGTAGCTTGCGAGGTTGTATTCGTCATCTGCGCAGGTGGATTAGGCGGAGGCGCTGAAGTCAACGGCTGGGAAGTCGGGACGGTCAATGGAGGAGCCGAGTGGGATGCCTGAGCTGGGGTCGTTGGAGTGGCGTGCGAACTCGTTTGAGGCGCTGTCATAGGTGAATAGGAAGGATGTGTAGTAAATTGCGTCGGTGGCATGGGTGAAGGACGTGAATTGGGAGCTTGCGCCGGTGTAGGTGGCAGTAGTGGTGGGGCCGTATTCGACATCTGCAGTAGCAGGGGCGAAATGACAGCATTCGAGGGCTGGACTTGAGGCTGGCTTGTAGATACGGTACTAGACGACTGGGCAGGGGGTAGACTCGAGGATACAGAGCCTGACATCTGAGGTGGGGTCGGTCTAGACGGTGCTTGCGGGACTGAATGTGGCGCTGGATATGAAGCCGGCTGGTACCCTGGAGGGGGTGCTGGATTGGACTGAGGCGCCGGTTGAGACATTCGAGGAGGGGGCGGCTTATACCCTGCTGGAGGGCCAGTCCTGTGTGTCTGCACCGGCTTCGGCAACTGATGCGCACGTTTATATTCCTGCGAAGGAGGGGGCCTGGGTGATTTGGAGGGCAGCGACTTCGGACCAAAAGGAGCAGCGAAACGGGACGAGCTTTCAGTATGCGAGCCTGGGGGTGGTGCCACAGTGGAAGCTTGGGTATACTGCGTTTGGTGAGACCGAGGATTGGGAGGGTGATGTTGGTTTTCTGGGAATGAGGGAGGCCTCACGTCCCTCTCGTTTGAATACTGATATCCATGAGTACCGGCAGAGCCATTGTGAGCAGCTGTGTAAGACGAGGACGGGGGCACAGCAAAATAGGGATTCGACTGATAGAATGCCGCATGATCATCGACGCCTTGGGCTTCTGGGTCGTATCCATGGCGCAGGTAACTTTCTAGCCACTGCAAGTCTTCGCTTGACATCTTGCGCAGCTGGTGAGGCAGATGGGTATCATGTATGGTGCCAATTCTTCGCTGTCAGCACCATTTCCGACGTGCAAAACAGGAAAGATGTAAAACTGTTCCAGAAGATGTATCCCGAGCTGGTCTCAGTGTGACCGCAATAACCAGCATATAGCCTCACAGAGAAATTAAGCAAAATGGTCGGCGTGACGCGACCGCATCGGAAGAGGGATTAGCGGCGCGCATCAAAGAGGCTCGACGATGTAAATTCCCCACCGCCTCACGCGGGCGGTGAGTCGCGACAGGAGCTGTCTCCCACTGGCCAATCGGAAGCATGATCGGCGTTAAGCGGAGAATCACGTGACGCACATTTTTCAAGCTCGAGTATTTATACTGCAACTTCCAATCTTTCCTGCAGCAAGCCAGACAAGATGTCCTTTGCACCACAACCTACAGGCGCAGTCGTCTGAGTTGATCGCCGACACAGTCATCTCTGTGTTCTTCGCAATGCTGAGCCAGGAATCATGAGAACCGCCAATGCTTCACCCGCAATTCATGTTTCGTTGCAGAGAGGACAGCATTGGCTACTCATTTACCATGAGCTTGAACACCCTACAGCGAGATCTTGAACGACTCCCAACCAACCTAGTTTCTATCTCAACGCGCCAGATTATCTCCTCATCAATCCACTACCATGGTTGAAGAGGTATACGGCTGGCGCAGAAGGAATTGCAGAAATGCATTTACATCTAGACAAAGTCTAGATCGCGTTCTGCCTCGCTTGCAGACCCGCACTGAGCATATCGCAAGGACGCTGCGGGTTTGAGAGTGAGATACATGCTGTTGTAGATGTATAGTATTTATCTATGATTGATTGAATATAATGATCTTTGATTGAGACTTGTCAAGTGTTCTGTAGTCTTTATCTGATACTGTTATGAGCTTGACACTGGATAAATGCAATTCGCATAGTGGATGGCTTTGCACTTAGGCGTGCCAGTTGAGTAGCTACTACTAGTGATTGTTGACGGTTAGACTTGTCTACTCTGGCATCGTGTAATTTCCTTGAGCGTGTATACTAGTCTCTAAGCCGTCTCCAGATAGTAAGAAGTCTCGTTAAGACTACCTATACTCCTCTGCACCGGTCTTCATACCCCTTCTTAGTCGAAAAACCCGCTAGACGTTATTACATTGGGATACTACCCCAGAAGTAAATATAAATACCTAAGAATATGAATACCAGCCGCAGTCATCATATCATACAAACAAACAGAAAGAAAGAAGAAAGTCATATGTCCCGCTCAATTGGCCGAAAACCAGACGATCGTAAACCGTTCCTCCACCTCATAATCACCACGAAGAAGACAAACAAGATACACCATCACATCCTCACCAACTACCTACTTACTGACTATGCCCAACACACCTCCCCCAAGCAGGCAACCCACACCCCATCCCCACAAACAACCACACCAAGAACACGACCACAACAGCCAACAAAACCATCAACTTGACATTCTTCCACCACATCCGTCTCCTCAACCCACGACTCCTAATGCGGAAATCATGCGCACTTCCACCCAACCGATCCGTCTTATCCACCAATAAATCAATCCTTTCACCCCTCTCCAACACACGTTCGATATTCTCCGTCATGATGTTCCTCACGCTATCGATCTCCCGCTTTGCCGAAGCCAGCGAATCCGCCGGCGGGGCCGTATTATACGTCTGCAGCAGCGAGCGGAGCTCATTGTTGAAGGCAGCGCAACCGTAAGCCGGGAGAGCAGAAAAGTCCGTGCTGGAGGGCGAGTAAGTGGCGAGGAACTTGCGCTTGATTTCGAGGAGGAAGGCGAAGGGAATGCGGCGGCCTTGTTCGGCGGTTGCGACGACGATGTAGCTGAGGGGCGCGTAGGAGTTGGGTTCGCCCTGGCGGGGGTCATCGGAGGTGCTGGGTGTTGTGGGTGAGTCGGCGATGTAGTGCACGAAGAGACGCTCGTGGGTGTAGGTGAGCTTTTGCGGTTGGTCGTGGCTGATCTTGGGGAGGATGATGGAGGCGAGGGACGAGGCGGCGCTCGAGGATGTGCCTGGGGAAGAGTGTTCGGCGAGAATGGTTGTGCGGTGGGCGATGCAGGAGCTGCGTATTTGGACGAGTGGTTAGTTGGGGATGATGCTAT